CTATAATTAGGAAGGCGGCCATCGTAAAAGTTGAATTTTCCATATTCCTCTCAATGTAGCCAACCACCTCGTGCAGTGCAGATTCTACAGACTTGCCCTTTATGTATGTGTGTTGTGAGTTTCTAAAAGAGGTGGTGTCTATGCGACTCCTAATCTCCAGGTCGATCAGTCTTTCGAGAGTCTTGAGGAGAAAGGATGAGTGGCTTGGTTTCCCTGCTTTGGGAATGTACGTAACCTTTACCTCGTTCCAAAAATCCAGAATATACGATAGAGTCAAAGAAGCCCTATAGATCCCCTCAAGCATCACATATATATACATGGCGAGGCAAATTGAAGCATTTATACAGTTTGAATGTACTGACTGCCCATCGTATCTTATTTCTGTTAACCACCTTGCCAATTAGATTCACATCAGGAGTCGCAAAAGGTTGAGTGTCATCACGTTCACCGTCGATGGTACCCATATCTTTGCAACCTGGGAAATGAGTCTTAGCTAGGAGATTAAGAGTCTCAGAACCTGAGTCCGTCCACTCTCCATCCTGCTTCTTGATACTTCCGATGGACTTCGGATCCTTGGATAGTAATCTTCGAAACCTAGCAGCGTCGTTGACTCCTTCTATCGACTCACAGAAACTTATCCAAGACTTTTTCTTTGCGCGTTTTATCTCACTCTTGTATTTGTTGAAACTAGTTCTGTAGGAGTTCCAATCAATATCGAGTTTAGATTTATACGCCCTCTTGTACAGTAGTCTGGTCGCATTTCTGAGTTCACCAAGTTCCTTGTTCCACCACACTGGCTGAGACTTTTTCCCAGGGTATGTGAGCGGACAGGATTCCTTATGGCATCTAAGCAGAACGTCCGTTAGTTTGTTCACGGCCCCATTGAGTTCCACAGTTGTTCCTAAGTTTGTATTAAGAGTCAGCTGGGAGTTCGTTACCTCCGTGAATTTCTTCCAGTTTGTTCTCCTTGGATTCCGATAAGGTTGTTGTTTACCTCCGTCAAAAGAGACCTCGAAGAAAATCTTTAAATGATCCGAAAAGGAATTTTCGAATTTTCAAAAACCCTTTTGTACACATTTCTAACATTCCATCAGTGACCCACATTCCAAACATTCCAATTTCAACCTATAGCCGTTTCGTCTGGGCGATGATCTGTCATTCACTCAATCATCACTCACTTACCAAAAATGTTCAACTATTCATTTATTTTTTTTTTCCAATAATTTATTAGTATTTTGTTTTCATTGTAATTGATTTGTTGTTTTTATTTTTGTTTTTATTCATCATTTTAATTGTTTTGTAATATTAAAGTGTATAAATGCATTTGAATAATTGATATTTGTTATTATTTCATGTTTTAATTTATGTCATAATTAATAATAAACAATTGTTTTATTTATTGTTTGCATTATTATTGTTTAGTATGTTTATTTATTTATTTATTTTTTGTTTTTAATATAATAATAAATGTTCAGTATAATAATTATAATATTATTGTTATCGTTCGTAATTTTTTCCTCAATGCTAATCAAAAAATTTAACTAGAATTTAGTAACACAACTATGTTTCATTGTTTGCAAGTAATTTATGGGCAAATGCTGGCCATTTTGCTTTTATCATTTTTTTTTTATTATTTTTAAATAATTTTCGCCAATCTATTGCAATTGATTTAGTCTAAGCCTATTTTAGTTTATAAAGTTATAAATTTTATTTAGAGCGGGTGTAATAGGAAAATCCTATCATTATTGTTTTTTTTTTTCTTTAATTTTCAGACATTGAAATAGTCTAAAGCGGATATTTGTTTTTTTTTTATTTCATTGAGCTTGAAAAAATCTAAATTTTAGTTTAGACGTATGTAACAGAATATCTATTAATTGTTTTGTTTATATTCAGTATTCAGCTTCATCCTACTATGATGATAACTTTCGAAGGGTCAACGGTTTGTTGCAATACTCAGAATATAGCCGAAAATCCAAAAATATTCGTTCGTAAAGATTATACTTTTGGTTTGGTTTTAGTTACTATTTTATTTTTATGTTAGCTATATGAGTCTAGTTTGTTTTTTTTTTTCTTTTTTTAAGGGGGGATATTTAACGATTCTAGTCGATTCTATACTAATTAACAGATTGATTAAAAATATGTCGCTGTGGGAAAGATTGATGATGTGTACATTATTTGATTATCATTTTGTTGTCGTACTATGCGTTGTAAGTATGTATGTATGTATTGTGTCGTTTATATGCTACATTCGATTCATGTAACTGACTCAAAGGTTATCAGTTCCATGAACTCTATACAACATTTAAATCGCATATATGTTCTGTATGTGTGTATATGAACTGATTGATGTATGTAGGAATATAGTGCAATGGATTTCATTTCTATGTATATATATATCTGTATACTTGACTATATATTATTGTACATTGGAATGTAATTTGTTATTGGAGTTTATTAAATACATAATTGATTTGTATATTTATTGTATATATGTATGTATGTAGGTGAATATTTTAGAAGCTTAACAAGAAATTTAAAGCTGAATTTAAAATAAGCCCATGGCGCACTCAGAGTAATAAAAAGGAAAGTTCTTTCAAATTAAATTCGAATAAAAAAAAGAAGTAAGCTCGTACCTACCCTTGGATTTATGGAATCAACATTTATCACATTAAATCAAGCATTAATGATATGATTATCTTGTAATGCCTTGACTTTCAAAATATGTTAATGAAGGATAAATAAATATAAAATTTCTCCTTTCAGTCAAATATAAATTTGTTTTATGATTTCATAATTTTTATTGAGAATTCCTGGTAATGAAAACTCTTGGAAGTGAATGAAGACTAATACAAATGTACCGTGACCTTATACCCAGTTCAGACCCTGGACATTCTAACACGCTCTCACACGCTTACGCTCGATTTGGTTTAGATTTAGCAATACAGTTGCAGAGATGCAGCGTATCATGAGTCCACACACAGGGAATGTCTTTTGGTTGTGCCCACTACGAATTGAGGCGACTGACCCTCCTGATCTTTATTGTGCCAAAAACACTCTCGTTTGTCTAGACAGCTGTCGTTCGTCTGTTGCCATTGGTGGTGGGTGGACTCCAAGAACTGCAGCATGGGTCACTGATTCCGTGTGAATGCTAGTAATTCCTTTTCGATAAGCCTGTTGATATAGTGTTCTCTCTTATATCGTTGGTCCTCTCTCTCTAGATCATATAGGTCTTTCCTTACATGCCTAGGGGGGGAATGGCATGGATGATTCCGCGATAGCACATGCGCGGGTAGTACATCGACAACATTCTATAGTGGCGATGTACGGCTAAGAACATAGCCTCCTCGCGTAAATGATCCACTGGTGTCATAGGGAGGCAACTTGTTCCAGTTCCCAGAGCGGCATTCTGACAGGTTTCCATGTTCGTCCAATGCTTACATTCGCGAAGCACACTGGCGCCGCATAGCTTACCACCGTCAACAAGGTCTCTTTATAAGCACGCCAAGAGCTGCCGCAAGTGACAGCTTGGCGTGATTGACAGTATCGAAGGCCTTCAAAAAGTCAAAAGCCACTAAAACTGTTCTATCGCATGGCCTGTTCCGGTTGAGTCGTCTGCTTACACGTGGCGTTTAATGTTGTGCATCCTCTGAAATCCACGTTACAGTTCGGGAACTGGAGACCTACTTCCCCTCACAGGGAGGGGTAGTAACTCATGTGTATTTACTACTGGAGACAGAAGGGAAATTTACCTCTGCTGGCATCCTAGTCTGGCTTCAGTAGCGTGACCACACTTCCTATTTTCCAGGCTTCAAGAACAATGTGGTTGGCTAACGACAGATTGAGTACAGCTGTTAAGTACTCTACTTCAGGTTCATCCAGTTGCTGTCTATTTGTTCTGCCAGCAGTGTACCCATCTGGTAATTACTTTGGCAAAGTTCATGATGGGCAATGAAACCCCCTAGCACCACATGGTTATTACCCTCCAAAAGTGAATTAATTCGGGTACATAACGCGGGGTAAAACTATTTGACAGGGGGAAGTACACGTTAAGCACCTTTATCACGACAGTTTATTGTTACCCCATACACTTCATGTATTGGCCACTTGAGTCTAGGTCAGGTGACATAGGTCTGTACTGTACGGATTGGTGTAAAAAGAGCGCAAGTTCTCCACCTCAGCTTCTAGTGCGATCCTTCCACTTTGTAACCATCGCAGCAGTGCAAGCTACATGTATCGGTCAGCTTGGATTCCTGGATCGCGGCGACTTTTTCCGATTCATAAAATCTACGATTTCGCTGTCCATTGTAGTTAAACTGCGAAAACCATGCATTTCCTACCATTCTACAGGAAAATGTGGTGCCAGGTTCTGAGTCTGCTGTAGAGGAGACTGTGGGGGTGTCTCATATTCCGATGACGATGTTGGCGACGATAAGGTTTACGACGAAGATGGTGAGGACACACAGGAAGATATGCTAACGTAGCATGCAGCAAAATAACTCATGTTACTGTAGTCCTAAAGTCGGCTAAGACGTTATATGCGGGATATTGCAATACTTTAGTCAATATTAAGAATTTTTAGTAGGAAGATTCGCCATATATTGAGAACTAAAAATACCAAATTACAGGTAATTCAGTATCGTGATTTCAAAATACGGACATGGCTAAATCGACATAGAATTTTATTCTGATCAAGAAAATATTTTATGTGGCATAATTATGAAAAAAGGATATTCAAGCTGAATAAATAGGTTACACCTACATCCGAGGGATTATGAGTGCTAACTACATAGTAAAAAATTATAAATTGTTGTTTTATATAGTTATATAATAAAATAAACCCATATATATGTACGTAAGTATGTATAGTTCATATTATTTATAGTATTTACCTTTCGTATATATGCTGCATAAATATGTGTATGTATAGAGATTTGTATATAGTTGATATATATATAAAACAGTAAATAGATAGGCATAGACTCAAATAAAATTTGAATAACTTAAACCGATTCCAAATGCTCTGCAATTTCGAGTATGGGACTTTCGCTAAGCGGTTTTATAACAGTCTGCCAATTCGGTGTGTATAAATTTATTTGTGATGAAGCCGTTGCGGAAGCTTGCATTGGTGTTGGTGGTGGTAGTGGTTGTTTCGATAGAGGAGCTGTGTTTGTTGTTTTTGTGGAACATGAGGATGACGTTGATGAGGTGGAGGACGACGACGACGAGGAACAGGTGTTGGTGGTGGATGGTTGGATGGATGAAGATGAGGCGGGTGCCGAAGCTGAAGCCAGCGCAGCAACAGACGACGATGATGGCGATGATGACGATAGTGCTAATGATGGTGTTGTTGTGCATGACGATGTCGATGGCTGTACACGGAGGGGAGGAAAGAAGAACAATCGATAAATTAATAATTATGAAATAAAAGAAATGATGGATTCACAATTACATGGTATGCATGCGGTGGTAATACGGATGGCGACGGTGACGGCGCCGAAACAGATCCTCGGCTGGCGCCGTTTTCCAATTTCACTGGAGACATTTTCCGATGGTCCAATAGAGGCGTTGCTCCTCCCGCTGCCACGGCCGCTGTTAAACCACTGTTGGCTCCTGTCGCCGACCATATTTCCGAAGCATGTCGATTTATATTGGGGCTTCTCCTGCCTTGGGCAATGGGTGGCATTACGGCCACATCAGCCGATTGTTGCTTTATGTATGTCGTCTTCATGTAGCTATTGATGCTGTGCTGATTGTGATGGTGATGATGATTGTAAACTGCCAGCGGAGTGAGAGAATTCTGATGAAGCTTGCTGTTGCTGCGTTCGAACATCTGCAACTGTACGAAATCATCATTGTGTGGCATGGCGGGAGGAGGAGGCGGTGGTGGTGTAGCTGTCGGTGTGACGGCATGCGGCGGATGGCCACTAAGTTTGTAGCTGTGCTCCCTTATGAGGTGATGAGGCCGGCCCAAGTGGGCCTCCAAAGCATATTGCTTCTGAAACAATTGACGTTTTTGTTGCAGCAATCGATGCTGCAGCAGTTGTTGTTGCAGTGGAGGTTTCTGCATTGGCAACATTGCCGTGGCGGCATTCATATGGCTAAGAATTAGATTGGGATCCTGCCTGGGCAAGCTGCCCGGGTACGCATTCGCTGCGGCGTCTACGCGCATATAATGATAGAGAGACGGATGAATGGGACCACCGTTCTTTTCGGGAAAGTTCTCCATGTTTTCCATGGCTCGCATTAAATGCGGCGAATATGTGGGATGGAAATCCATTGCAGGTATTCTGTTTGACAGGGTGTAGAATTGACTATGTTGAAATTGACAGTTATTGAATTCGTCCATTGGCAGATTGGATCTGTACTTGGACTTGAGAGTGTGGGCTTCGCGTTGCAGTTGTTGTAGTTCCAGCCAACCGTTACGCTTGTGTGGAGTGTCGTAACGATAGCTGCCATAAGCAGAGCCATTGTGCAGAGGTCCCGTGGCACTGACAATGCCCTGGGCCACAAGTCCATCGCTGGCACGGCGACCTTCCCTGTAATGAAAATGATTAAAATGTTAGGCACATTGCACAGGGTGCGACGTCATTGGGAGATACATACCGAAAGTGAATTGGAGATCGTTTGTCGGAATAGGGTGTAGATTTGGTCGACAACATGGATGATGTACTCGTTACCGGTGGCATGTAGACGCACGAATTGTTGCTATTGTAAAAGGAGCCTTCCGAGGTTTGATCAGGTGTAGCACTGCCACTGGTTCCCGATACTGCAGCTGCAATGGTAGAGTTACTAGCACACGATGGCAAGCTACCGGCTAAATCAATACTGGTAACTAAGTTGAAATCGATGCTCTCGAATGTGGAGCAATTGCTCTTTGATGAGGCTCGACTTAGGTTTTGGCTAAGGCTCTTCGAATAGCTTCCGATAACTCCACTCGATGAACTGCTGCTGGCGTATGACTGTATGCGTTGGTTGCGCAAGTCCGTCGAAGATTGTGATGTGTCTAAAAAGAAACCAGGGAAGGAGTGAGGATTATTACTGTCATGAACTTCATTTGGCGATTTGCTGTCACATACCTTTGGCATCATTACCCATGTCAGTTTCACAACCCTCGTCCGTACTTGAGCTGCATTGCGCGGAAACCTTTTTGTTCGAAGAGCTCTTCGTTGTAGATTTTTCGTTGCCATTGGTACTACGAAGAATCGGAGAAATGTAAATTTCAAAACAAATACATGTGTAGATATATCTCAACGCTCACCTGGAATAGTTTTCAAGACAATTTTTTTGTTTATCCTTCTCGGATGACTGCGATGTCGTGCGATCTTTACCGAAGTTGATTGTGACACTTGGATGTGTTTCAATGTCGTTCTCTTGCGTTGGACTCTGTATAGGTAAATTGAAGGGATATCAACGCTACTCTATGGCATCGAAGCAACTTACCTCCAGTGGTAGAGGACTCTCCTGCAATGTCTGAAATAGTTTAGTGGCCTCGGCAGACATTTTAAAACGAAAACTAAGGCTTTGATCTAAATGCGAAGAAGAATCAAAACTGGTTGAGCTTGAAATAGACTTGGAATCGCTGAGCTTAGTGTCGGACTTTTGTTTGGCTTCAGTCGTTTTGGTTTTGTGTTTGTTGTTTTTGGATTCGGATATGGCAGTGGCCTTTTGTAACAAAAGCCTACAGTCTTCTGAACTCTGTTTTAGGATACTCTCCTCGATGTTGAAGTTAGCAGCTCCTGCCGTTCCAACTCCACCAAAGAGACGTTCACGCATTGAACGATCATCGGCATATCGCAGAGTGGTAGTTGGCAGCCCTCCATTGAGGCAATGATTGGATGAGCCAATGTCTCGACAATTTAAATTGGATATTGAGTGTTTATTATTGTCAATGCCGTACGATGAACAACCTATGGGCAGCTGGCTGCTGCTAAGATCTTGTCGAGACATTCGGCCCACCCTTTCAAAGTGATATCGCATCTGGCTGTCGGTCAACTTCGGCTGCAGCAAATGTTCGGCATTTGTTGGTGGACCGCGTTCACTTAGTAACGTCTGGCGACTCAACCTTGCCATGAGACTGTAGTGGTCCCTAACAAATTGATTGTGTTCCTCGGGCGGCAGGACATGGCCAGACTTCAGTCGATGATGCTGATCCGTCGAATTCGATTTAGTCTGTTTGTATAGCATTTTCGAGGAATATTGATGGGCTGCAGCGGCCGTTGATACCGTCGACAGTTGCGAGAGTGTGGAACCGGTCAGGGCATGCTGTTTACTTATACTCGAGTGTTTTGGCAGTGATATGGATGCAGTACTACCGGTACTGCAAGAAGCACTCCCTAGCAGGTGTTTCTGTTCCTGCTGCAATTTCTTATTGTAGACCCGATCCTGTAGTAGTAAATAAATGGCAGCGACATGGTCGTAACTGTTCTTCTTTAGACTAGAACGAGTTTTTTCCGGTGGTATGCCAGCAAATTCGGACATGATGCGCAATATGTCCTCGTTGGGTTCAATGTTCGTGGTGCCGTCCATGTTGACATTGAATTTGGCAATATTCGACAATTCCAGTATTTCGGGACACATCCAACGATGCAATTTGATCTGTTCGATTGTGTAGCGGCGTGATGGTTCCAGCACCAACATTCGTCGTATTAAATGCTCGCATTCTGGAAGAGGTGGGCAAACAATTGAAAAATGTTCTCTACGTATTAAGTATAACATACCTGAGGACATAAAAAATGGTATGCGAAAACGACCAGATAACACCCGATCTCTGAGGCTTTGTAATGTTGAACCATCGAATGGTAAAGCACCACAGACCAACACGTACAAGACCACTCCAAGGGACTACAGAAAAAATAGAGCATATTAGAAAACTCTTTGCAATCGTTTTTCGGTTCATATCATACCCATATATCAATTTCTGGACCTGTGTACTGTTTTCCCTCAAATACTTCTGGTGCGGCATACGGTGGTGAACCACACCATGTTGCAAGCAATTCGCCAACTTTAAAATGATTGGAAAAACCAAAATCTGCTATTTTTATATTCATATTATTGTCCAAAAGTAGATTTTCAGCCTACAAGGAGAGAGGTGAGAAAATTAATGCATTGAAAATATATAATGAAAAGTTTTTTTGCAGGCGAAGTACATTAATTGCAATTAATCTATAAGGAGAATTGCAAGTGATCAACATCATCACTTGCAATTTTCCTTATACTATGTATATCCCTATTTTCACTTCTTCCATTTATTTACCTTAAGATCTCTGTGGACAATTCCTTTTTTGTGACAGTAATCCACAGCTGACAAAATTTGCCAAAATTTATAACGTGCAGCATTTTCCGACATTCGTCCATATTTCGCTATATAATCTACAAATAGAAACATTAATACAGTGATTAATAAGTAAACACGTGAATATTGTACTTGATATTCGAAACTTAATAGGCTTTGAGATTTGAAAATATTTAAAATACTTTATGAGTCTCAAAAATAAATTTCAAATATGTTTTTACATTAAAAAGGATAAACAAGAATTTAGATTTTCTTTTCAAAAAGGAAGCTAAAGGATATATATTGAAGGATATCTGCATCAAAAGGTAACCATCTAGGAAGAAGTAATGGAATTTACGAAAGCATGTGCATCGGACTGGCCGATAAGTCAGGTATATTTTGGACTGTTATGAAGTCGCTTTGGATGTCATCGACAATAAAATTGCGAAGCAAGGACCCGTTTATCGCAAAGCCAGGACATATGCGAAGACAGTAATAACTAATACCATAACGGATGAGATAAACCAACAAGTTATGAATAAGGAATCTGCATGTGAAACATGGAAAGCGCTTATGAATATTTTGGAAGCCACGTGAAGGGATCAACTATCTAAGATTTGTATCGAACTTTTTTCTTTCAAGTGGGAAGTAAGTAGATTAAGATGCATCGGCTCATATTGCCAAACTTAAAGGTCTATGAGATGAGTTCAACAGCTGATTTTGGACTAAGGGAGAAAATATTTTGCCGGATATGATCCTCATTTGTAAAATACTGCATACTCTACCCACTTCGTGTGAAATGTTCCATTCAAGTTGGATGATGCTCACAAGGGAAGAAAATAAATCGTTCGATGAGTTGCTGATGCAAATATGCCTATATGAAAGAAACTTTCTGAAAGGTTTCACCGATCCCAATGAAAGACAGGAGGCATTATTTGTGAAGCCCAAAAGAAATAGCAGAGACAAAGATGAAAAGAAATTTACTAAGAAAGAGGACTCCTGTTTTTATTGTAAGACGAAGCAGCACTGGGTAAGGAACTGCTGAATATGGATTGCAGATGAAAGACCTGCCAAGAATTCTGCCATCTTTAATATTAATACCGCTCTCAGTACTTATCCAAAGGATCAAAAAGTATATGGAAGTGATTAATTGATTGACAATTTATCCACAAAACATTTCACACATGATTTCGAAATGTTTTCTAAATTTTTGAAGTTCAATGAACCTCAAGGCATACAAGCAGCTGGAAAAGAAATAGTTAAAGCATATCGTTAGCTAAAATGCAAAAAGGCGTAACTAACAAAAAATTGAAAATTGACTTTTTGAATGAATATTGTGAATGTCAATGTCTATTAACAAAAAACAAAAAGACGTAACTGCAAGTGGGTTTATTTGATAAATGCAAAAAGGCGTAAATAACAAAAAATTCACGTTTTTACTTAATTGTTATGACTCCCATTAAACTAAATTTGTTAAAAAAATATAGTCTTTTATTCGTCATATGCAATATCACCCTGCCGGGCATACTTTTTCATTTCACATGACATGTTTATTGTTTTCATTCAAAACTGTTTTTTGCTTCTCCTACACAATTATGCTTTTGTTAGTTACGCTTTTTTGCATTTTAGCTGACGATATGTAAAGGGCAATATTGAAATAATTTCGAAGGTCGACGGAAAAGAATTAAGATTAATTCTTATAGACATCTCACGTAATTTGTTTTCGGTTTTGGCCACACAGTATCGGAATCCTAGTTTTAATTCAACTTTCACAAAATGTTGACTTTTTGATCTCATGTTGGGCGCCATAATTGTATGGAAATGATTAGAAATTATATTTTAATGGGCCCTCATTGAAAATAATTTGAAAATATTTGTTAATGGCCACACGTTAGGCACCATTACTTCTCTAGTCCTTATATTGGGCGCCATAATTTTTATGCCAAGAACACAAGTAATTTTTTTTTACATCCCATATTGGTCGCTCTATAATGGAAATACTTAGAAAATTTTTTAGGAGTTTTTTTGTCGCCATTTTTGTTGAGCGCCATAATTTTCATGTCATCAAAATAATTAGGGAATATAGTTTAGATCTCCTGTTTGGGCGGCCCATATTTCTATAATTAGAAATATTTCCATAATTAGAAATATATTTGTATAATGCTCCTCGTTGGGCGCCATAATTTCTCCAACATGAAAATAACGTCCATTTTCCACCTGAGCGAGTTTATCACCCGTTTGTAATGCGACGTAGTTTTATAACATGAAAATAATTGAAAAAAATGTATGGGCCTCTTGAAATATTTCCTGATCCCTAATTCGACTGATGAACTTAAATTAACTACGATGGATTTCCTTTTAATTGCAACTTTAACCACGCTACTCATCTCGACTGGGAAATAAAAAATAATATAAATTACAACTTACCAAATATTTCCCCTTGACTGGCATATTCCGATACGATATAAATCATATTTTTTGTCTCCATCACCTGAGAACAAATTTTACCTTATTATTTTTACATATTAAAAAAAACAATTTCTATATACCTGATATAGTTTGATAATATGGGGATGATTAAGACGTTTCATAATTTCCACTTCACGATAGACTTTTTGTAAATTAGTTGCATCCAATTGGGATTTATCAATGATTTTAATTGCAACCTGTTCGAGGGAAATATAACTTATAGTCGCCATTGCAAACTAGAATAATAATACTAAATAATGTACCTCATTTTTGGTGATACGATGCCTTGCCAATTTGACTACGGCAAAATTTCCTTTACCAATTGTCTTTTCAATATCGTAGAAACCGACACGAATCGGTTCCTTTACTTTTAGACTATCCTTTCCTGACAAAAGACTCGAATGTCCCTTCGAGTCGAGTTTCTGTTTTGCTGAAATCGCCTCCTTTGTATCGGAGGCTTCCGCATGGGTCTCATCCCTGGAACCACTGCCGCCGCCACCCACCGTCGACGAAGACGATGAGGAGGACACGCGATTCCGTGTCCTTTCCATGCCAATATCACCTGAAAATTCGATTAAGGTCACATATGAATAATCGAATATTTGATTATTGTATCAGTTTCGAGGACTTACCATTTCTGGAGCCAACATCAGTTCGTTCATCTTGCGTTTGGGATTTTGTTGCGGATTTCGTTTCAGAATTGCCGTTTTTCTTTGTCTTGATTTCTTCGTTGTCACTTTCTCCCATATTTGTTGCTATCATCAGTTGTTTTCACTCATATCATCCTCATTTTAATTCACTGCAAAATATGCAAATAAATAATGATTATAATCTATGTGGATAATAATTTTGACTCAAGACATAATTTTTAAAACAAAGATAAATATATTTGGTAGACGCTATTCTTATGGACCCCACAACTAATATCATAAACTCTACTCTTTCATTTGTCGCTATTATTACAAGTTTAAGAATTTGAATTTGAAACGAAAAAATAACGAATGTATGGACTTGCCGCTATAGTTCAATATTTGGTATTTTGAAGGTCTTATATGTATATTAAACTAGCTGTGCCTATCGTCGGGCATTTTGATTTGATAAAATGCATGTTAGTAGAATTTTTTATACCCCATTTATACAAGATCACCTGACTTTCTTCCGATCAAACAGTGAGAAATCAAATTAATCATGTTGTGATAGGCGGAAGGCATTAAACGCAATAGACGTTCCGTTGATCCGAAGATCGAATATCAATACGGAACATTACCTTGTGCCAGTCAAGGTTCGCACTCGTCATAATGTAGCAGCAAAGGGGCAACCTAATATAACACAAGAGGTAACAGTGACCTACTCCGCTAGTCAATATCATTCATTGTCCCGATAATAATATAGAAGCACAATAGCAAAGAATTGCTCACTGCCTACAAACTACAGCAAATGCAACCCTTGGGTACCAAAGACCACCATCAAGAAACTTATGGTACGATGAGGAGTGTCGTAATGCTACTGAGGTGAAAACTGCAGCGTATAGGGCAACCCTGCAAACAGTAGAAGCACTCAGTGCGATGGAGAATTATCGGGAGAAAAGGAGAGAGGAGAAACGTATTAAAAAAATGGATAGAAGAAGAAACCCGTGAGCGTGAGTAAATCGAGATGTAGAGAAGTCAGAATGAAGTCCGGAAATTTTACCAACGAGAAAAACAACAAACCGAAGGATTTGGTGCAGGCACATGAAGAGGGAAACCTGTTGATAGATATATGTAGGTAGCGTGTTGAGGATCTGAAAGGAGCATTTTGCAAATTTTCTGCAACCAAATAGTAGCGGTAAAGAAAATACCCCAGAACCAATAAGAGATGGCGATATAGATTGTATACCACCTAGCCAAGGTGAGGTCAGAATAATAAATAAACCGACTGAAGAATAATAAAGCAGGAGGTGGGTTACCAGCCGAACTACTCCACACCGGTGGTCAGATGCTGATCAGGAGCATGTACCAATTGATTAGTATAATTTGGCTAGAGGAATTCATGGCCACTGATTGGAACTTCAATATTCTGTGCCACAAAACAAGACGATATGTACCAACTACAGAGGAATTAGTCTCCTTCCCATCGCATATAAAGTGCTATCCAACGTGCCCTTTAAACGACTGAAGCCAATGGTCAATGATATTATTGGACCTTTTTGAAAGTGGCTTCAAACCTGACAAATCCACTATAGACCAGATTTTCACACAGCACCAAATCCTGGAAAAGAAAAGAAACACATCGACACATTCCACCTATTCGTCGACTATAAAGCCACATTCCGCTCAGAGGTGTTTAAAGCCATGTAAACGTTCGGTATTCCTGGAAAATCAGCAGTTAAAGTAGGAAACGAAGATTCAGACAAGGTGGCAGTTTGTCATGTGACCTGTTTAACATTCTGCTGGAAATGATCATACGAGGTGCAAAGGTGAACTGAAAAACACTCTGTACACAAAACAGCACTGCTATTCGCCTACGCCAACGACATCGACATAATGGGTCGAACATTGCGAGCAATAACAGCCACCCTTGAAAATTCTAATAATTTATAATCGTATAATTTTTAAAATTAAAATAATTCGAATTTTTAAATTACTTCATAAAAGTATTCGTGCACATGAAAAATTGTTGATATCATATGCAAACTTTTAGTAACTTGTGTTTAAAAATCTTTGTAAGTCGTTTTCGCATTGATTGGACTAGTTTTCAGAGAATATCTTACTAAACTTTCTTATATAAGCAATGATCTTAAGTTGGTAAATAAATAATATATCACATTTATTTTATAAGGATTTATTTGACATATATGAAAAGGAATTGACAATTGAAACCCACTGGGTTAACAAAATAAATGTAAACGTACTATTAAATTTATTTGCTTATATCATGGCATAATTACACAAGGAAGTCTCATGCAGACATATGATTCCATTTTTTTTTTTCATAATTTTACTGTTGACAACATTCAGCTTTCAAAATTGAAATGAAAATTTCCTCCTTCGAAATGTACGTACAACACGTGTTCAGTGGCAATAATTACAAAATGTTTAATATCTTAAAGTCCCCAGCCTCTATAATATATAAATATAAGTTGTAAAATCTATAGTTATATCTTAAGAACAATATTAATCGAAAGAAATAGATATTCATTTAAAGAAAGAATACATTTTTAATTTTTGAAAAAATATGCCATTCGACATGCATAAAATTTTATGGATTTTTTTTTCAAACAATTTGAAATTATTAGGTGAGTTGCCATTACTAATTTCTCAACTGAGACTACCTTCTGTAATTATGCCATGTCTTATAGGCTAAAATGTGTTATTTTTTGCATTTAAATTCAAATTCAACTATTATGTTCTACTGTAGTTCCATAAGCTTTCCTTTTTCAACAGATGGAATGAAATGATCCCATGTTATTTAATCTAAAATTATTTCATTACCAAATAAATGAGCAATTGCGTTATTGCTTTTAAATTTCACTTTTTATAAATGCTTGCTAGATAATTGGTAACAATAAATAACATGTCCTTGTCCTTGAAATCCCATTCTATATTAAATAGAAGAAGACGATTGTCTATTAAATTCCCTATTTCTGCGATTTTATGAATCACTGCAGCGAATTGATTATCCCTTTACTTGGCAATGTTCCATACAATTTAACAAAGCCTACCCACACTATCCGCCAAAAAACCGCACACAAATTCAAAGAAACACAAACATACGCCGTTTCAGAATATAAAATAAATCTCGCCTTAATCACTTATCTAAACAATATAAAAAACAATTACATTTTAATTGTACTGTAGAGAAATAGAAAGAAACACTAAAAAATAATAAAAAAAAACTACAGAAAAATGGTCAAATTTTGGGAAACAATGCGTTTATTCTATTTTTGTATGTCGAAATAAATTTAGGGGAATATCAGTCTCTAATCCCTAAAACGATCGAAAGTCTATTTGAACAAATAGTAGCTGTGTCTGCGTAAGATATATCCAGTACAATTTGAAGTATTTCAATCAACTGTTGGTTTTAATTAATTAATTCAAAGAACATTTTTTATATTATGCATTTTATTCTTTAATAATAGTACGTTTACATCATGATGAAATGATAAGGTGATGTATCATGTTTTTGTCTCGACCATCTGTCAAATTCTTCCTTATAATATTTCACATGGTTGGCAACATTGCACATCGAATACATGTAGAAATTACACACTTTGACAGTTAATCGAGTCATCAGCTGCGCTAAATGGACCACCTATTTATTGTACCGTGGTTTACATTATACTGGATATAGTAAACTCAGTGGGATTAAATTGTGAAAACCATTGCTTATATGTCAAATAAAGTCTGAAAAAGTAAATTTAAATTTTAAGTAATTTTGCAATAACTTACTGTATGAAGAGAAGTTACTATTCTGTGAAAACCCTCAATACCAAATAACAACTAAATCGATTAGAAATTAAGTCCAAATTATTGAAACCATTGGTACCGGTACAAGGAGATTTTATCCGAATACCGAACATTTTTTTTAAATTTATTGTTAATCATTTTTCTATCCTTTGAGAGACTGAAATACTAGAATTTTTCATAACATTTATAACATTGAGAATCCTCAATAACAAATTACAACCAGTAAGGAAAGTAGTAAAGTCGGACTGGACCGGCTATGTGATACCCATCACAACTTTGGATATATTCTATATATGTATCCTAACAGACGTCGCCTTTTCAATGAAGCATTGACGTGCAATTGAACGAACTTTTGTAAATCGATTTAAAGCAAACTTGACACACGCTATACGGTATGCTGCACTGTTTAAAATTTAATCTCAATCAGACAACATGAATAGGTCAAAATAAAATATGGAAGCTATACTATATCTATATCTAAACCGATTTACATTTCGTGCAAATGGAAAGATATTTATGGACTTTGGTGCCAAATAAATGAGCTGTACCAAATTTCGTTAAATGCGATCTGTACTTTGTTCACAATTTAACATTAACAGGCGGACGAACATGCATAAATCGACTCAGAAAGTGATTCAAAAGGAACTATGGGTTTATCTCGATTCCTTTTGCCTGTTACAAACATATGCACAAAGACATAATACCCTGTACCACAGTGCGGTGAAGGGTAAAACCATGATACAATAATAAGTTGATGTATCACAAAAACAACATTTGTTTTTGTCTCGACCATCTGTCAAATTTTTCCTTATATTTCACATGGTTGGCAACATTGCAAATCGATTTCAAGTAGACATTACGCACTTTGACATTTAATCAAGACATCAGCTACTCTACACCTTTTTCACATGTTATTCAAAACATATCAAATATAATTCGAGAATTCCATTTGCAATTCATAAC